CGATTATTGTTAAAATTCGTAAATAGTTTTATTATTAGAGAAAGTGAACAAATTAAAAAGTGTTCCCTATTTAAAGTTGTTTTTTTTTATTTTAGATAAAAAATTCAAAATTGCTAACTTTGATTTGGTTTTAATATGTTTTTGAGCTATAGTTCAACAAATAATTTCTGCTCATAATCGAGGACTAAAAAATATCATAACTCCTACCAAATAAATATAATACATCATATTGTATACATTTCAAACGTTTTTCTTTTCAAATAATGTATTTATGATTGTTATGTAAATAATATTCAGACAAATGGATCCAACTATTTTTGTTACGTATACGTATAGAACTATATATTATATATATAATAATAATAATAATATGTATTTACATAAATAATGATAATAATTGTTATCGGCCACCATTTTACGAGCTTGGTAAACATTATTCTGTCCATCTACAACGATTACCATTTAAAATTTAAATGTATTTAAAAAACAAATGTTAGGTTAAGTTTTTATATTATGAGTGTAGTCAAGTATTACATTCACCCATTGAATAAATAAGGCATAATATATTATGCGTATTGAAATTGCATTAATATAATAATTAATATAATATATTACATCAATACCAAGTATTGATTTATAATATCACTTTTGATTCATTTTTAAACAATTACTATTTTCTATACATCAATAAAATCATATTATTTTTTTCGTTTGTTATTTTGAAAAGATATTTTCATATCTTTAAATATCCTATATCTGAGGACAATGTAATTGTATTTCACTATAAGCCAAAATCCAACTTTTAGGAATACGAAAGCTTACAAAGGTAAACATTGATGCTATAATAATGATTTTTATCACGTACGTAGGTATTCTGTCTGATTTTTTCTGTAATAATAATAGTAATATAACCTTACTTCAAAAGCTAACCTATTTATCACAAATATTTTTTTTTAGAAATCGTAATATTGTATTATTCATATTCTTTCATATACCTAATTCAGTTTAGAAACGTTATTTATGTTCACTGATTTAGATATAAAATTAAAAATGTTGTATTAATTTTACATTTTTACATTAGGTAGTTGTTTTTGATTAATTACTATTTTATTTATGATAGAATATCGCTGTTTTTGATTCAAAAAAATGTCCTGTCAAAAAAAAAACTGTTTGGGTGGTAAATTATACCTTTGTAATTAAAATAAGTAGGTAGTAAGTAATCTTTTTACTAATCATAAAATAATCGTAAAAGTCATCTGTGAAATTAAGTTTTGTTTCGTAGTTTTTATTTTTATCGTATCTATAATGAATATTAAATCTTGGTTTAGTTTAATGCTTAAATTTAAAATGAAAAATATACGAGTATGTTTAAAAGTTAATTCTCATAATATCTAAAGTGTAATGAATTTTTAAGGTTGAGAATTCAGTTTTCTTCATTAACAAAACTTTTTATTTATTTACATTAATATTCATAATATAATTTAAATAATTGTGCATACATATATACTTATATACATATATACATATATACATATATACATATATACAATATATATATTATATAAGAAAATAATAAGAAAGATATGATTAAATAAGATAATTTCTTTAAATTACTTCGCGGATTTAGATAATATTAAATCGCAATTAATATTTGACACAAGGTATACTCACAAACATATATTTTATGAATACAATATATATATATTAAATACTCACAGTTATGTAGGTAAATTATTTTATAATAATGATATACGCTGGTGAGGTTAAACGGTGTTGTTGCAAACAAAAATACGGAATGGATATCGTATATTTGACGAGAGATATTACAACAACGGTAATAAAAATATAATATACATATTAACATGTGATGGCGGTGACTAAGACACCGAAAAATATAGATTTAGTTTTATCAAGATGACAATGTGGGTACGGTCGCGGCGACAAAAAGCACGTATATATTATATGCGACGCGGGTAATAAGCGGAATACGAGAATAATTACGGTGGYAAACTATAGCGTGACGGTAAAACGCACTTCGACACGTGTGTAGTCGGCCGACTGCTTCTATATAGCCGTCTAATAGCCGTTGTTATTATAGGCCAATTGGAGTCTCGTTATTCATGGTTAAATATGTAATTCCTTCCAAATTTGAGCTTAAAATGACTATAAAAATATTTGTTCATAAAATTATTAAATGTTTTTGGTTACAGAAATAACTACTTAATGCAACGTTGATTTCAATTTTTAATTCTTTTTTTATTGATAATAAGCCTGGCAAATATGGCCATAAGCTTTTTGTAGGAGGGAACGTTTGGTCTGAAACACGTGTTGAATATGTGCAAGGATTTGTTGCTAAAACCMRGGTGGTCACCCATCCAGGAGCTAGCAACACCAGCCGGTACGTATACTCAGAGCGTTTCCGCAGTTGAGCGTACGACCGCRCCAMAATATTAAAATTAAAAATAATAGTAATGCAATAAGAATATACATTCAACTTTCCACATTAAAATAAATAAAAATAAACTAGTATAGAGTATTGGTTTATAGTACTATACAAAGGAGTCTATAGWGAAATAGACAATAAACAAAATAAAAATGTATTAGTTTATATTTAACAAAGACACTAGGAATAATTTTGGATTGACATGTTTGTTGTGCTGAAATTTTTTTTGAGTTTGAAATGTTCTAAAGTTCGAAATATCTATAGAATTCCGAACTTTTTGTTCTGGTTTGGTTTGTTATTTTTAAATTTTGGTTTGACTTTCGAACTCAAACAAAACACCTAAAGTTTGGTTCAATTTTCGAACTTCGAATATTTCAACTCACACTTTAAATTATTTATTTATATAAACAAATAAATTTAAAATATTTTGTAGGTATATTATATATGAATACAATACATTTTAAATGAACATTTAATTAGAATATTAATGAGATTAATGAGATATTAAAATGTACTGATTTATAATAAGTATACGGTAATAGTCTTTTAGTCTTTCAATTGGTTAGAATCTATCTATGGTTATAAAATATATTTATTATCGATAAGATTAATGATCGATCCTAAAAAATTGTCTCTCAAACAAAGAAATGAAATAAAAATGGCATATTTTGTAGTTCGATTACACAAATAATACAATTATTAAAAATTTTAARCAACTTTTTTAACTATAACTATAATAACTACCAATAAATACTACTACTATAACTAAAACTATAACTATAACTGTTATTTACTTACATCATCAAACTAAAGTAAAWTATAGGTACAACATGTATGGGTACAATGTTAACCTAAAATCTAATAACTATTGAAACAGTGGCCTTTCGACTTGTTTCGTACAGTTGTGATGATAATGACAACTCTGGTTTTAAGGGCATCAMATTTTCTATTTATTTCTATGAAAATTTATATAATTTGTATACAGTTTTTGGAGCGAATACGCTAACGCAGCATATAGTCTTAAGAGCGAGCTGCCGGATTCGGCGTATTGTTAAGAGTAATTTAAGACTTCGTCCTATTTACAATATTGAGGCTTTCGTGAGCGTGAYTGGTTACACAGGTCAAGGTATGGGGTCGACCACGGGTAGGTTCCCGGGCACTTGGCTTAGCTTCGCGAAGTGATGTTGGTCCAGCTCCTGGTCGCTGGTGTGCAGCTGTTTCGTGTCGGACTACTCGCACGGAGATAAGTGTTTCAATGATCGTACCAGGTTGCTCACGGTCCGTGAGAGGAATGTGAGCCGTCCTGTGTTCTCGTTGGCTGGTGAGGATGCCACCAATAGTCGCTGATTCGTTCTGGCTGGTCGACTCGTATGACATTATGTGTAGCCATGCCTGAATGGGTTGTTCACGGGTTTGTTCGAGGAGACTTCGGATACTGTCAATGGTCGTTCCTGTCGGCGTTGTAGTCGCCGACTGTCATCTGTCACCGTTATCTGGTTGGCACTTGTAGTGCGGCTCGTCTGCGTCGGTTTGCTTTGTTGGTTCTTCTGTTTTTCTTGTCTTCGTACTTGTAATRTGTTGAAGGCTTAGTTGAAGAAATTGTGTTGATTAAAGAAGGTGTCTGCGGTCGGGAAACGACCGGTATACATATAATCCGCGTATATAATTGACTAGTAAACTATCGGGTATGCCGTCGTGTTGTTTGTGTTTCCTGTCGGCACGGATCTGAATTTTGTTTGCTGGATTTTTAGGTTACGACCATGGAAAGGATCTCTTTATCTTTGTCCTGACCCCCCTTACCCATGGTTGTACGTATATTTTTATCGGGTCGTTAGTGTAATCCAGAGAAGTTAGATTTGGTAAAAAGTCTTTGACTACTGTTATTTTCTGTATGTCGTGTTCTGATTGGTTGATTGTGCAATTCTTAGAAAGACTGTTTTGATGAGTGGTGTAACCATTACGCTGTGCATCAAATAAAAAATTCAAAATTATTTTTATGATTAATGATAACAGAAGTGTCTCCAGCGAACCCAAGAGCTGCGACCATCTMCTAAGTCCATATTTCAAAAAACTGTGTATTGTTAAAAATAAAATTACGAAGAAAAAATATAATATTAAAAGTTTTCTGAACCCCCCCCCCACTATGTCTTAAAGCCATCCCTGAATTATAATGAATTTAAATAATTTTTTGAAAATGTTTGAATTTGTTACACTATTTATTTCCAGTTTCGGAATTTGTGCAGTTTATGATATAATATATTTTGTTATCTTTTTTTAAATTAATTTAAATTTAAATACATTCCATACCTTCTATTGGCATAGCATACGTTCAGTTTAACTGAATTTATATTAAATGCTAATTTTTAAGATTAATTATTTTATACTTTAATTTATCTGACAAAAACATTTCCACTGAAAAGTAGTATAATAAATAGCATCAATTTTACAGGGTGTCTGAGTGATTCTTCAATCGAGCTCATCCCATTTTGCCATGTAATATTTCATATTTCATAATATATATTCAATTTTCCTTTAAACGACATACAAACTTTAAGAAGCTATTATTAAAGTTTATTTTTGATAAACCTACCTTGTGGTTAGTATCCAACTATACATAATACACTTTTAATCTTTCATAGCTTTCTATATTTTTTTTTTTACGATACTACATTATAATCAACATAATTATAATTCAATGTTTTGAGTGAAAATGAATTACACCTACATTATTATTTATATTAAAATACTTAAACTATTTTAATAGTGTTATAAATATATCATAAAATATGCTTAGCAATAAGAGTATGTTTACAAAAAGTGTTTGCTCAAAATCATTTTTTCGTAAACATTGATTTATCATTTACTACATTAATTTATATGATGGAGTTAAACGGTTTACATTTTTTAAACTGTCTTAAAAGTTAAAACCCTTGCACTATGTAAATTAAGAATTTAAAACCAATTTTATTTCAAACTGTTTTATYGCCATTATATAAACGTAGTAATTGAGTTCAAATTTAACACATACGTTACAGTTACATAATACTCAATGATGAGATACACTCGAAACCTACCGCACAGCATGTGGATACCTAATTTTTTATTTTTTCTTTGAGTATGTTTTCATTTTTGTCTCATAATTGATTTAAAATTATATGTTACTATTAAAAATATTGGAGTTTAAACACTATCACAAAATAAAAAAATAACTAGCGTATAAACATACTGTTTAAATAACTATTCACATATTATTACGTATGAGTAGCAACATCAAATTTTAAATATTACCTTAATAAATTGCTTTCAATTATATGTTTGTAAACGAAAAAGCAATATTTTAAAATAGTAACAAYTCTTATTATACTTATTAATTTATTGATTGATTTTTATGAATATTTTAAACAGTATGCTTTTAATTTTAGGCTATGTTGTTTACCCTAATAGTACAATACATGTCTTAATTTTCATCTATATTATACAAGCTAGAATAATTTGTATATATCTCAATTTAAAGTAAAGAATTTCTAACATTTAAGTTACTTTTCAAAACATTTGGTAATATAATTTAATACTTTTATAAATTATACATACGTGAATCAATAAATGCATGTAATGATATACTATGAAAAACATTATTATAATTTATAACATATGCTTGTACGTAGTACAACGACAATCAAGCTTTAAAAAGGGAGAAGCTGTTCTGATGTATAACAGATTTTGAGTATAGAATTGACGATCATTGATGAAGTCACTGTAATTTATGTGTTAAATTTGAATTCAACGATAAATAGTTTCACATACAAAATAATAAGCCAAAAACATRTTATTATAAATTAATATACTCATAGCTTCGTTCAAAATTAAAAATGATATAATATTGTTATATTGTAATATTGCTACTGCTTAATGTTTTAAGTTATCATACACAATATAATTTGTATTTATTTGAAGCAATAAAAATATCTTTATTTCCATTAGATTCATGCTTCATAAATATTTATATAATATATACATATTTATGTTTATGATATGTATATAGTATATAATAAACATTTAAAATCATTTTTATTATTATTAATAATACTTGTAATTAGTTCAACGCAATTAAAATYAATTAAAACAAGATTAAAAAAAACAAAGTTACTAAGTAAATGGAAAGCACTTATTGTACATCCTTTAAAATCATTCAGAAATGACTAATATTACCTAAATTTTTGTTTGATTCATTAATTTTTTCTTCAGGTAATAGTTTTTTTGTCTTTTAAATTTCGAATATTAATTGCTCAAAAATGAAATTGTTTTTAAAACAATTTTAAGTGGTTTTAATTTTTTTTTTTATAGTATAATATATTTTTGTAGTTTCTAAAAATTTTATTCGGTGTACTTACTTAAGGTTTTAAACATTGGAAGAGTATTAATAAAATAATAAATAATAATATATTGATTATATTGTAATGTATAAAAAAATTTTGAGTTAACAACTTATACAGCAATAATTATGTAACACGGCGTGTTGGATAGGCATTTCAGCTACACCGTAGTCGTGTGACCTGTTTCCCGGTATAATAATATTATGACACGATTAAAAGTATTATTTAATAAGTCAACGAAAAAGGTAAAAACATTTACGTTATAAGTAATATTGTTTAGTAATAATTATACAATGTACATATATGTTTATTGTGACTGAATGTTTTTCTATAATTCTAGATGACTAGGAATGAAATAATTACCAACAAATTTTATATATTCATTTATTACTCCAAATATAATCATAAAAGATATAAATAAATAATAAATCATTTTTTTTTGATTGTTTAATATAATATTATAATGATTAAGATATAATATAATATTGCCCACGGATCGTATTTTACTTCATAAATAATATTATTGGGGAACACATTTCGAACAACAGAGTATACATATATTTCGGTGCATATTATAATGGCTTATGAATGACATTGTATCGATCGACAGTACAATATATACATATAAAGTCGCTATATATAGTATGTATTTATAATATTATCATAATAGAAACCCATAATCGATTATAAACAACATTATGATAGCATGCACTATTATATGTCGTGCGTGTGGTCGACATTCACTGGTAAGGTGGAATCGTATTTGAAAAACAAACCTTGTGAAATGTTATACTCGAATATGATTGTATTCAATATTTTTAGGATCGACGTTTTTGTCATTATGACAATCATCACTATGTCAATATCATAATTAATTATTTGTTGGTATGGATCATCACAATATTCACACTAGCTGTGTTTGAGCACCAGCACAATAGTGTAAAAATAAAATAAACATATTATTATGTATCGTATATTTTATGATACTTTACTTTAGTCTCGATGTAAGACGGGGAATATACATTCCATCTTAACCACCACCTGGTGTACGTACTCTAGCCCGTCTTCTAGCTTGGGGCTACCAATTGTTTATACCAGACGATACGAAGGCCGATACTAACAACATAATATACAGGGATCCTTTAATGTGGAATAACAATCGTAAATCGTTTCTGTAAATTCTTGTGTTTTCGATGCAAGCATTATTTCATTATGATACGATGTGTATATTATGCGTTATGCCACACTTCAAAGCAGGAAAATGTTTTCAAGAAAACATCGACGCATAATAAATATTATAAATAATATAAATACAGCTTTTATATTTGTATTTAGACATATTTTTTAGCACGATAGTGAACCACCCTGTATAGTGCGTATAATACATAATATCATAACCCACGAAATGTACATATCCCTGTATCAACGCTTGCTTAGATGTACAATATATATATATATTATATTATTATACATAATACGTTTCTGTCTGTCTATGCTACGGAACCGTAATATTATTATTATAAGCGAACTATTGTTTTCACGTGTACGACGACCATGGTATGGCTTATGTGTCTACTGTTCGTGGGGTTGAGGGGCGGCAGCGATCCATCATCGGTCGGGCGATACGACGACAAAAACAGAATCGTTCGTGGCTCACGATGCGTAATCCTCGTTTGTTACAA